TGTACTTTATTTTTTAAAACTTTTTTTATTTTTTTCTGGCCTCAGGTAGGATCTTAGTTCCCCAACCAGGGATCAAACCTATGCCCCCTGCATTGAAAGTGCAGAATCCAAACCACTGAACCATCAAGGAAGTACCCACAAGTGAATATCTGAAAGTGCTATGAGTTCCTTCCCCATCCCAACCTACCTCCCAAAGTAGCATCAACTGAAACCTACATACCCCACTTGGTTCTCAGATTCTACACTGAACTCTTCATTTTGCTAAGAGTTCTATCATTGGGGATGTAGGTTCTGATGGAGAAAGGAAAACCATCTGACACAACAGGGCATTTAGAGAAGGGAGCATTCAACTGTGTCCATGGGTAGTGATGGAGACTGTGGGAATTCTGAAGAACAAAGTTGGCACCATGGCTCCACTCAAAAGGCTCTGGGATCTGGCATCCTAGTGGAATTTCTATCAACTCCAAGTATAACACACTGCCCTCTTCCACCTGAGACCCCTTCACCCCACAAAACTGCCTACAGTGGAGCACAGTAATTTCTCCAAATATTTATTACACATCTACTACTATGAATGAAGAATAGTGTCAGCTGCTTTTCCACACATTAAAAAATTTAAGTTGGCCTACAACACTGCAGTGCAGATTTTAATTATCTACATTTTTTACTAGATCACAAAGAAGGTTAATAATGTGGTAAGAATCACAAGAACAGTTCAACCAAGTAGAGATCCGGGCCCAAGCTAATTTGGTTCCAAAGCCCATGGGCTTTTTTCTGGTGCCCTTTAGACTTTAACATTTCTCTACATATGTATATATGTTTCTTGATCACTATTATTATTATAAGATTAATCTGATATTGATTCATAAAGGCATGAGGCCTTAATGCCCAAGTACAACACAAGTACCTCCTAGATAACACTCATGGCATCTAATTCAAACACTTCCACCTATGCTGTCATTGGCCATGGCAGATCCCTATCTTAAATTTATTCTTGGTAGCCCCCAGTTGCTTAGTGCAGGGCTAGGTGCCACAGAGTTGCAAAGAGTCGGATATGACTGAAGCGACTTGAGCACAGACACACACAGGTACAAAGTGGGCACTCATTTAATCTCATTGAGGATTATGTTGCTAAGATTGCTTATTAGTAATAAACGCTTGGATGCTGAAAGATGAATTATTGCTAAGAAAAGTCTTAGACACTGAGAGAAACACCAAGGGGGCCTAGTCCACCTCGTGGCCAACAGAATAGGTGATCCACCACTGGGTAAAAAGAGTAAACTGTAATCACTAATAGGTTGATCCCACTAGGTATACAGCTTACAATGTCCACTGGAAAGAGCAGTTGACTCTTTGGACCTGGGTTCTTTCCTCTGCAGGACTGGCATATAACCCCCACTCAGAATAGCTGTGAAGATTCCAGGGACCATGTCTACAGACATACAAGCAACCCAATCAACCCAGGTGTTACCTCAGCACCTCCCATGGCTTCCTGTGTATATAACCACCTCTATATTCAGACCCATGTCCTAACCCCAGCAACACCCTTCAGTAGCTGCGTGATCTTAGATCAGCGACCTAGCTTCTTTGAGCTCCTTTTCTCATCTGCAAAGATAGTGGATCACCTATCTCATGGGGTTGTTTAGTGAAGAAGATGATATAATATTTGCATGTGGATGACCCTGGCCTGATATGTACAATAGAAGAAAGTCAGCAAATATTAGTCAGATACAAATGTGCACAGAACAGCTCTGACATACACACGTCCTGTTGAATAGGGCTCGTGGTCAAAAAACAGTCATGGTGACAAGTAACAAAGAAAAGGGAAGAGGCACTAGTGAGAGAAGTTAAAATTAGAGATGATTCTTAAAAACCTCTCTCCTTTCAACCAATAATTTCAAACTGTTGTTTACCAGCTGTACTGCTTAAACATTGGTCTTATTTGATTGAATGGGTTCTGCCTCTTACCGTCCATGACAGAAGGAGTAGCTACAAGGCAGGTAACGAAAAGTGGCCCTGGAAAGCTAAGAACTGGTTATACTGGGACTTCCCCAGTGGTCCAGAGGTTAAGATTTTGCCTTCCAATGCAGGGAGTGCAGGTTCTATCTCTGACCAGGAGCTAAGACCCCATATGCCTCTGGGCAAAAAACCAAAATATAAAACAGAGCAATATGGTAACAAATTCAGTAAAGACTTTAAAAATCGTCCACATCAAAAAAAAAAAAAAAAAAAATCTAAAAAGAACCGGTTATACTGACCTGGGTGTTTGGTGAGAGGGGGTGGCCTTAGTCACCTCTCTCTGACAACAGTCTCCCTTTTGAGGCTACTCTATAGAGTCTATTCTAACAGTCTCTCTCAGAGGCTCCTCTAACTTCACAATACAGAAACCAGAGGTCACACTGAGGCCTCCAGAGAAGACATTTTCCAGAATCTAACCTGATACTACAATTCTGAAACCCAGAACTAGATGAGTTACAAAGAAAACCTCCTCTTTATTGACCTACCAAGTATGTGCCAGACTCAACACTAAGCATCTAGCATATAATACATGCCCAGGGGAATGGTCTGAATTTTTTACACCCCATCTTACACAGAAGGAAACTGCACTATTGGACATTCCCTACAGACACTCTCTAAGGCCCTCAAATGCCCACATGTCCTCAAGAACTCGTCAGGATGACACGTAGAAACTTCCGTCTGAATTTTCAGGTCTAATCACAGGGCTGGATTTTGCAAAACTTCATCACACATCTTAGGCCCACAGCAAAAGTGCGTTTGGGAAAAGGGTGGAACTGGTAGCGTCAGAAAGGAGACTTCAATCCTTCAGAAGCCACCTCTAATTTGCCAGTAATGGTTAGAGGCTGACAGGAGGAGGGTGCATTTTCCTTCTGCACAGTGATCTCTACCAAAGAAAACCCAGACAAAGTCACCTGGCCTTCCTAGGGAACAACAACAAAAGCTCTTCCTCAAAGGTTCAGGCTGAACTCCTAACCCTTCCTTCCTCTCCCTGCCCCAGGGAGTGGCTGGATGGTTGTTGTTTCTTTTCTTTTTTTTCCCTGTGGTCCTCCGTGTAACACCACAAATTACGTTTTCAGGGACTTGAGTCCCAGAGTGCAATGATGTTGTAATAAACATAACCAGGACCAAATGCCTTCCCATCATATTAGATGATGCCATTTCCCACCAATCAGGCTCCTCGGGCAGGCAGACCACTCACCAATGAGGGACCAGACAAAGGCTGTGAGGGGAGACCTGGTCATCTGCAACTAAAAATAAGGGCGCTTCAGGATTGGCTGCTGCCACTTTGCAACAGGAGTTGGTGTGGACCCACACACCAGGCACCACACAGAAGGCACACACAGGCAAAAACTTTCAGCCCAGGGGTTCCCATGGGGTGGGCTGGTCTGCCTTTGTTGCTGAGGTTTTATCTTTTTCCCAATGTGCTGACTCAAAGAAATACTTGATCCAGAGGGACCCTCGCAGACACACCCTCGCTCCTAGACACCTCAGTTTCTAAAGGCTCTTCGCGATCACCGTAAATTGGGGAAAGGGAGGGGGGTGTTGGCCGGGGCCAAGACACTCACCTGTCCCGCTGTATCATAGAGTCCCAGGAGGTACTGCTTGCCCCCTACGGTGACGCTGACTGCAAGGGCAGAAGTGGGGGCGGGGAGAGAAGCTCAATTACCTAGACTCTGGGGCCATTCTGTTCCCCACCAGGACCCTCCCCTCCCAAACCAGCGCTCGCAGGCGGGAGCTCCCAGGGAGATGCCACCCCTTTTCCCAGGCTCACGGTGAAGTGGGCGTGAGGCTGGGATGAAGTGGCCCCCAGCTGCCCACTCCCTTCTCCCAAGTCCCGTAGCCACGCTTCCCCCTCGGGGTTTGAGACTGTTGGGAAGGCGACTGTAGGAAGGTCAAGGAGGTCGGCCCGGAGCACCGAGGGGGTTGGGAAGTGCCGGGCGCCGGGACGCGGGACTCGGGACTGAGCACTGGGATTGGGGGGGGCGGGGTGGGAAGAGGGGTGGGTCCAGTTGGCAAGGGGGCTGCCCGAGGGATAGCCTGGGGGTGGGGCCGGACGCCCCGTGGAGGGCGCGGCGGGGGAGGGGGGAGGAGCGCACGCAGGGGAGGCGGCAAGGGGGCTCATCCAAAGTTGCTCCAAAGTTCCCGGCCTGGGGAGATGCCCCTTAGTCAGCACTTCCGAAGCTTACCTGCGTAGTGGTCGAAGACGGTGGGCACGTACTCCTCCGGGAAGGCGTCGTTGGCATAGCTCATGAGTAGGCACGTCTTGCCCACCGCCCCGTCACCGACCACCACGCACTTGAGCATCAGCGCGCCGGGCCCGTGAGCCATGCTGCGGCCGGCCGGCCTCCGGGCATGGTCCCCCCGGAGCCCCCGCCCCGGCCCCGGGCTTAGCCCCAGCCCGCCTGGGGGGTCCGCCGCCGCCGCCGCTCAGCGCAGCAGGGCCGACCCCCCGGCCCCATGCAGCGGCTCCCCCCGCCCGAGGGGAGGGGGCGACGGGCCCGGGGCGCCTCCGCCGCCTCGGTCGCTGCCCGGATCCCCGCCCGGGCCCCGGTCGCCGCGCCCGCCCGCTGCCCCCGCCGTTCGGCGCCCGCGCCCTCTCCCCGGCCCGGCCTCCCCAGGAGGATCCACTGGATCATAAGACTGGCCGGCCCCGGGGGAGACGGCAACTTTGGGGAGGGCAGCGGAGGGGAGGGGCCAGGCGGTTCACCCCGCCCCGCGCCGGGCCGGGGCCCCCTCCCCGCTGGGCCCCGGAGGAGGGCGGGCCCAGGCACCTCCCCCGATTGCGGGCAGCCAGCCTCGCGCCCCCGCCCGCCCGCCCGCCGGCTGGCTCCAGAGCCCCGCGCCCCGCCCGCAGCCGCCGCTCTGCCCTGCCGGCTCACCCTAGCTTAGCTCCGCGCGAGGGCTGCGGGGAGGGGGCGTGGAGGAGGAGCCGAGGAGCAGCGTAGCTGGGAGGAAGGTGAGACTGGGGGAGGGGGGCCGAGAGACCCGCGCTCGGGCGGAGCCGAGGGCTCCTCGCGAAAGTGTCCGCAGCGCCCAGAAGCGTCCCAAGGCCCCGAAGCTGGGAGAAGACGTGGAGCCCTCTTGGGGGACCACGACGACTTTTATGATGACGCAATAGTCGTGCAAAATTATTCATATATATTTAAACTCCACCCGGAAGGCAGGATCCATTCTATTAGCCTCTAAATGCACAATAGAACTAGAAATCGGGAAGGAAGGGCCAAGAGAGTTTGAAAAAAAAAAAAATTTTTTTTTTCAGGCGCACGGGGGTGACGGGGGAGGGGTGGCGGTAGTCCCTGAGCTGGAAAATTGGAACTCCTACATTGAGGCTTGGTTTCCACTCCTTCCCCCCCACCAACCCAACTCATGCTGTCCACATCAGAGCTTGAATCATTTGCTATGAAACTGGTGACTAAGGGAGTTAGAGCATCTTGAACCACTGACGCACTCTCCACCCCCCGAACTAGCCAGCAAAGGTGGACTGGGAGACTCTGGATGCTGCGGATGTACCTGTGCTCCCCCTAGAGGCGACATCTCTGAGGCCCCTTTACCGTCCCAGTATCCCTCGAAGGTGTTAGGCTGGGATCCCTGAGGAGTGATACACCCCAGAGCTCAGAGACGTGGCCAGTGAACCAGGCGACAACCCCTGCCCTCCCGCCTGGACGAAGCTTGGAAACACCCATCTGTTCACTGGCCAAAAGTGCTACATCTAAGTTTAGGCCTTGGAGGAGAGGGGAGGCGGGGATGATACACTCCACGTTGACACCACACCCTCCCTCCCCTTGCTGACGCGAGATAAATCGCTTCCTGTCATCAGTTCACAGGATCAGAAAACGCTGTGTTGAGAGGCACAGCAGAGGTCAAACATACGGTCTCCCTGAGATCTCTCTCCGATTGTGGGTAAGCAAATTGAGACGCAGACAGGTGAAGTGGTTATCCTAAAGGTCTCCACCTCTTTTCAGCATTCAGGTTCTGGGAACACACCGTGGGAAATGCTCAGTTAGTTATGTCCTCACACCATGCCTCCGAGGCCTCAACTCTCAAATCCCAAACCTGATTTCCATTGTCCTGAAAGACATCCTGGCTTTTCAGAAGTTCCTTGTGGAGTCCCACTGGATGTCTCACCAGACCCCTGCATCGTGTTTGAGTGTGAGTACTTACATTGCCGGCTGCTTTAGATTATGCAGTCAAGCTGAAAGACACTTTGTATGTACTGAATGATAGGTTAAAGAAAGCAGTTCGGTGTCTTGAAGTCAGATCTCGGTTCTGCCACTTCTTTCTAGAAGGGAAGAAAGGAGGACTTACCTCCTTTGCCTGCAGGACCACTTCTTCAGGCAGCATTTGCTGGGACTAGAATTCTGAAAGGAGTCTGTTGAGAGAGGTTAAGGAGCTACTGCATGCACTCAGCCAAGAGAGATCATTTGGTTCCAACTCTGACAGCAGTCCATCCTAAAGGAAATCAACCCTGAGTATTCACTGGAAGGACTGATGCTGAAGCTGAAACTCCAATACTTTGGCCACCTGATGTGAAGAGCTGACTCACTAGAAAAGACCCTGATGCTGAGAAAGACTGAAGGCAAGAGGAGAAGGGGACAGCAGAGGATGAGATGATTGGACTCAATGGACATGAGTTTGAGCAAGCTCCGGGAGTTGGTGATGAACAGCGAAGCCTGGCAGGCTGCAGTCCATGGGGTCACAATGAGTCGGACATGACTGAGCAACTGACTGACTGACAGTGGTTAGCCGTGTGACCTTGAGCATGCCATCCCTCTTCTCGGGGCCTCAGGTTTCTCATCTATAAATGTGAGCTCATCCATAGGGTGTGATCAAGGCTCACCTTTGACAGCTCTAGAGCTCTTCACAAGCATGCTCTGAAAGGTCCTGGTAGAGGCTTTGGGCCAGTTGTTAGAGACATGGGGAAGGCTTTGATGAGGAATAATGAGGTCTGTCCCAGGACTGGGAGGATGGACGCTTCCTCCATTCAAGACTCCAGCCTCTCAGTTCTTTTGCTGCTTTTCAGAAGGGCAGATACTTACTGGGGATCCGGGGAGCTGGATGATTGGCTCCAGAACCTTGACAGATGGAAGTGTCTCCAGGTTCTGGATCCTTTGGGAGAAGTTCTGGGAATATCTGGACATTCCAAGTGGGGAACTGAAGTCAGATGAATCATGCAATGGTGACTTCACTGATGATGGTGACCTCATCCCTTTGGCCCATAGAAAAGCCAAAACAGACTGCCAGGAGTACTTCGAGCCCTGGGTTGATTCCACCAGTTGTATATGGAGTAGGAGGCAGAGGGGAGTATTATCCCAGATGTCCAGGTCAGCCCACTGGTAGGTTAGCTAAAAGAACCAAACAGATCTCAACAGATAAGTACTGTATAATGTGTTCAGTGCTGTGGTAGGGAATGAAGAACAGTCTTTGGGAAGTGCTGGGAGGCTGTTAGTACCTAGCTCTGGGTGTGCAGAAGGGTGTCATTGACCTGGGCTTTAATAAGCTAATAGGAGTAAGATAAGAATGCCTGGGAAAAGCAGCAAGAAGGAACAGCACACAACTTCTTGGGAATGGTGAGCCATGTAGGGTGGACAGAATGCAGGATTAGTGGTGTGAAAGAACTCGTTTGTGTTTAATTGAGAACTGTGTGATACTACCAGGCCATGGGCCTCTGGATGCCATGTTAAGGGCATGCAGGGCCAACCTGGGCTGGGCAGTCTGTGCACTGCACAAGGCAAAGGGAGAAATATGATACCCAGAAAGGCCCATGTGATACCCGCAAAGCCATGACCCTGGCCTAAGGCTGTGTACATGGGAAGAAGGGGTACTTTTTTCTTATCACAGAGGCAATTTCTGCTTATCAGACCTGTGCCTGTGGGGTGGCATCCACCCACAGAGGGACATCTCTTTCTATTTGTTATTGTTGTTTATTCACTAAGTCGTGTCAGACTCTTTGTGACCCTGTGGACTGCAGCACGCCTGGCTTCCCTGTCCTTCATTATCTCCCAGAGTTTGCTCAAACTCACGTTCATCAAGTTGGTGATGCCATCCAACCATCTCATCCTCTGTCATCCCCTTCTCCTCCTGTCTTCAGTGAGTCGGCTCAGGGTCTTTTTCCAGTGAGTCATTTCTTTGCATCAGGTGGCCAAAGTATTGGAGCTTCAGCTTCAGCATCAGTCCTTCCAATGAATATTCAGGGTTGATTTCCTTTAGGATCGACTGGTTTGATCTCCTTGCTATCCAGACAAAGGAACTAGCCAGGTAAACAGTGGCTCTGGGAGTAAGGATGTGATGAAGGGAGGAAAGGAGGATTTGCTGTGAGCTGTCACTGTGTACTGTGCCCAGGCACTGTCCTGGGTATTTGCTGCTCATTTCATAGGTCATAGTATTACACCCCCAAAATAACCATGCAAGATAAAATTCATAGAGAATACCTATTGGCTTCTCTATTCAAAACAACACCCTTTGCTTGTGTTACATGTTCTTTCTGTGATCATGTGGTTTATTTTCTTTTTCTTTTAAAAAACATTTACCTATTGATTTATTTGCCTGCTCCAGGTCTTAGTTGCAGCATGCAGGATCTTTTAGTTGTGGCATGCAATCAAACCCAGGCTCCCTGCATTGGGAGCATGGAGCCTTAACCCCTGGACCACCAGGGAAGTTCCAATCATATGGTTAAATGGTAGATGCCCTCTTCTTACACATCCTGTCCTTGATTAGCCCTGGGCACCTGACACCAGATGGGGTGACCAGAACGTTTCTTGAGAAGTTTGAATTTGGGATTCAAAACTGGTACTAACTAAACTGGAAGATACGGCCTAAAGGTAGTGGGTCATTCCTGCTTCATGTTTCAGACATTTGCAAAATAGTCAACCCAAGGAAATGAAGCAACAACGTGCAGAGAGACAAATGGAGAGAGATACTCTCCACCCATCCCCCTGAAAAGTGGCAGGGATGACACGGGATATTTGTGAGTTCCTGATTCTGGGTATTCCTGAAACTGTTGTATACTCCTGGGCTTCAGTTGGTCACTTAATAAGTCCTCCCTTCTTTTTTGCCTAGACTGTGTAGATTGGTTTTCTGTCACTGGTAACTAAAGGAATCTTGTCTATGATAGTATTATCACTACAGTCAAGATAGATGATGTGCAGAAAAATTAAGACATTTATTCAGAGTCACGTAGCTGCTAAGTGGCAGAGCTAGCTTTCAAAAGGATTGGTCTGAGCTCACGCTATTTCTCGTGTTCCACAGGAAGGAGGCATTAAAAGTTTTCAGTTGGAAATGACAAGTTTAGAGCTATCTTTTGAGATGATCACTCTGGGAGTGGTGTAGAACATGGATTTAGAGGGGACCCAAGTGAAGGCAGAGAAAGTGAGGAGGAGAGAGGTCATGAAGGTCTGGATCAGGCTTGGCTGTGAAAATGAGGAGGAAGCAGGATGTTTAGATGACCAAGTTCACAGGGCTTGGTAACACAGAGAAGGGCTGGGATACTCTGAGGTGTCTATGTTATGATTCCATTGACATATCCCTTCTCTCTCTTCCTTTTAAATCTTCTCTGTTTTATCCTCTTTACTTCTTTAGGTTTCTTCCTAACTTTTCAAAATTTACCAGTCTCCTCTTGGTGACTAAACATGTGACCCACTGCCCAAATCAAGCTGAGAGTAGAACTCTAGAAGGACACTAAGTTCCTAAAATGTATTCACTTTCTGTCATTTAGCTTGTGTCCCTTCACATTTACTCCAGAAATGGACAACTGGATTCCAGTAGATCATTTGGTGTCATGACACTGGGTTTCAAGTAATAGGAAAGTCAACCCCAAATGGTTTCAACAGCAAAGGGAGTGTATGGACTTCTTTGATTGAAACAACTAGAAGTAGCTCAGGCTTCAAGTATGGCTTGATCAAGACCCGAAACTATTTTTTTCCTGCACATCTTTCAGTTTTTCTCTTCTCTCTGGGTCAGCATCCTACTTAGGTTGCTTTCACTCTTGAAAACAAAATGCTTATACCAGGTCCAGGCATTACCTCCCATATACCACACTGCCCAGCAGGAGAGAGAGCTTCTCTTGATTCACTTAATACACAAAATTCTTGGACTTCCTCTCATCAGATTAGCTGAGTTCATCACGGTGGCCAGCAGAATGTCAGATGCTCATTGCCTTAGGCCTGGGCTACTGGCTGTCCTGGAAACCATTGCTGGGACAGGGGCTTGGAACTATCCTTATTAGGCCTGTCATGGCCCACCCCAAGGCCAGAGTTTTATTCCCCCTCAATTGTTTCTTGCACAGTGGACAGCAGACATAGGGGATAATATATGCTGGGGAGGCAACCAATAATACCTATCACCTCTGGATTGTTGCCAACAGTCAAAGTTTCAAGGTCTCCCCAAGCTATACTAGAAATAAAGAAAAAGTAAATTTCAAGGGAAGAAGGAGGTGAGAAGGATCCAAGTTATATCTATGATTTGTTTTAAATTTCAGTCAGTTGATTTGTCAGTACATGAATCCAGGCTTGGTGTGAGTCCCTAATTCTTGGCTGATAGTAGGTACTCCTTTCCCCCTTCAAACTTCCTTCTTAGATTTATTGGCAAGGAGGTAAAATGGTAATCATTCTTTTATCTGGTCCCTTCTGCTCTTTTATTTATTTGGCTGCAGTTGGTCTTAGTTGTAGCACACTGGATCTTTGATCTTTGTCGCAGCCCTCAGGATCTTTAGTTGGCAGTATGTGGGATCTAGTTCCCTGACCAGGGATTGAACCCAGGCCCCCTGCACTGGAAGCCCAGAGTCTTAGCCACTGGACCACCAAGAAAGTCCCTCCTCTGCTCTTCAATTATGCTTCTTTCCTCCATACTTGCCCAGTCTCTTCAGACTGCTGCCTCTTCACTCCCCAGGGCTCTCCTGCTTCCCAGACTCTACCTGCCCACCTTTGTAGCATCACACTGTATGCCATACCTATTCCTCTTTTTCTTCCTACCACTAAAACCTCCCATCTGCATCCTTTTCTCTTAGGGCTCAGATGTAATGTATTACACAATTTTTTAGCTGAGATGTTAATGACTTAAACACTGCAGCAATTTCTTAAAGGTCAATGGTTCCTGATGATCAGGATGACTTAAAAAATCCAATACATCTGGCTCACTTGGTTTCATTAGTTATGTTTCTAGAATACATCTAGATCTCTTTTTTTTTCCAGCTCGTTACATGCCAGAAATTCAGGAGTAAATCCCAGCCTCTGAGAATTTTAGCTCAAGCACCCTTAATAATGTTTTTCCATCTTTATTTCTAACCATCTTTTGCTGCAGCCTAGGTCAGGAGACCAGTCATTATGACAGATGGAATTGTCACCATTGTTGAATCATAGAAAAGGACACTTCTTAGAGGCTGCTGGTGCGGAACACCTCTATGATCTGGGAGTGGCCACCTCCTGTAAGGTCCAAAGGAGGCTGGATCATAGATCCATCTTCCAGAAATGAAAATAATGATTTTATTCTAGGCTTCAGTTCTAACAGTGCCAGAAAAAGATCCAAGGTTTGTTGATCCTGTGGTCACTGAGTGTTATAAGCACATTTTGAATTTGGGGAATCTTCCACTTTGAAGTCTTGGTGGGAAGGAAAAGATCACCCTTGTGGAAGCTGTTAGAGACTCTTGCTTTCCTTGTCAGACTCAAGAGCTGGAGTGACTACAGTTAAATACAGAGCACACTCTTGCAGCTTTGGTGCTGGATCCACAACTCAGTGCTGAATACAGGAAGTGGCACATAGGGTGGGTGGTGGTGTTGGTTGTGGTGTAATTGAGTTCCTGGTGCAGAAGTGACTACTGTATACACTGACTATCTAGAATTTGTCGGCAGCAACAATACCAGAAGTGGTTTTCTCATCGGAGCAGGTCCAGAGGCATATGTTGGGTGTGGTTCCTGTAAAGACAGTCCTGAGCAGCTTTTCTAAGTCAAGTCAAGTCACTCAGTCGTGTCCGACTCTTTTCGACCCCTTGGACTGTAGCCCACCAGGCTCCTCCGTCCATGGGATTCTCCAGGCAAGAATACTGGAGTGGGTTGCCATTTCACTGTCCTGTGAGCCATGCATGATCCTTAAAATTTCCTTTTCTGTTTTGTTAACCACGTCCAGCTTCTTTTGCTCACAACCACAGCCTCCTGAGAAGACATTGGAGGACTGGATTGCTGTATTCAATGTGCTTCATGCAGTGTGAGCAGAGATTCCAACTTCTACCATACCCAAATCCCTGTTTTCAGATATTGAATGTAGCACAGGACTGTGATTTTTGAAAGAAAGGAACAAATGAGGGAAACTCTACTATTACCCTTTCTGCTGGAAATATTTTTTGAATCACAGT